GGCTATTCACCAAAGTATGTAATGTCAGCAGGATTTTGAAAATCAGTATTTCTGTCCTCAAAGCAATCAGCAAGCTTGCTGATGCCTTCAGTATTTCAATTAGTGTTCCTTACCTAGAATATCTTTTATTCTGTTACTTGTAAAACATGCCTGTACTGCATCAAATATTGATGGCAAAATAAGGACTCCAGAAGGTAAAGTAAGTGATAAAGGAACTGAAGGGATTTAACCTGTTGCATTTGTCATATGCTTATATTTGATAAAAGGAAAGAAGAAAAATGAGAAGTGAAATTCTGCATCAAAAAAACTTGCTTCATCTAACGAAGCTAAGACTATGAAAGTCTGAAATCTTCAGATAGGAGCATTTTGAAATGTCTGTTTAAAAAAACTTAGGTTGCAGGAGTGTTGTTTAGATTTAAAGTCAGATGCACAGGAGACCTGGTGGAGAATCAGTCAAATTCTTCATATTTGTGCCTAAAATAATCTAGTATCTAATGTAAGTGCACTGTGAATGGGAATTGCTTGTGATTAACACTTTAGCTGGAAAGAACTGTTTACCATTATCAGTCTTCTGTCCCAGTTACTCTTGGACAATATTTGCTTAATCTCTGAGATGATGACCACTTTTAAAGTAAGTTTAATAGTGAAAGTCCATGGAAACTTAACTGTCAGAAAACATATCTCCAGGCATCTAACTCCTAAGCCAGGTGAATTTCTTCTAAGATTGCTAATATTGTTGCATTCCTGTTAAATTTTTATCTGCAACAAATTTGTCTCAAACATGTCGGTGAGTTCCTGAGTTAACTAGAGTCCAGATGAACAAGACGGAGGAAAGCATGAACGTATCTTTAAAATGCCTACTGTAGACTTTCTGGTAACTAAAATGGTGACAGCCTAAAGTCCAGTATGATAGGCTTTTTCAGGCCTAGAATCAACTGCTGTGTATTTCTGAAATCTTTGAAGGTTATCTCCTTCCTAAGAGATTAATTCTCTGTAAGAAGTCATAGAAGGCTGAAAAACAATAACTGTTATTCTGTGGCAATTTTATATTTAGAAAAAATGAGGCAGGACTCGACAGTTACAGGGAGCAATGAGGAAAAATAAGAAATGTTTCATTACTGAGATGGCTTTCTGTTTAAAAAACCAAACCAAACAAAAAAATTAACACTCCACTCCATCCTTTACTGCTAAGGGATTTAGAATGTGAGAGGGAAAAAAAAATCTGAGAACAGGCTGGTTAGAAGACAGATGGCATTCGTAGGGGTAAGCAATACATATATTTTCCATTTGGTTATCACCACGTACAAGAATTGTTTGTAGGACAATAAGCTGCTGGTGAAATAGTGATTTCTTTGTGTGTATATTCTGTTTATAGAGGATTGTTGAATACAAAATATGTCGTAACCCTAAAAAGCACATGATATATATTTTAATGCTTTTTGGTCGAAGTATAAAAACTGACTTTTCTGGGATATTAATAAAAACCACTTTTTTAGTGTTGAAAACAGGTACAGAACATCCTACAGCAAAAAAACCAACTCTCACCAGCATTAAGAATGGGGCATGTATTTGGAAAAAAAAAAGTTTTTTTGGAGAGAGACCATGGAAGCCATTCAGAGTTCTATTGGAGGTTATAGCTGATTACACACGGTGTCAGTTGGTGCTGCCTAGAAAATTCTTGCCAGGAAGTCCCCACTTGCTTTATATGCAGATACACAGGAAGATTGTTTAAATGATAAGAAGCATTGTGTTTATTGTTCATTAAGATAAAAAGTTGTCCATTTTTGGCATGTTTTATCACTCAACATGCTGTTTGGTTCTAGCAGATGGTGACAAAACAGTAAGTAGCTAGTAAAATTATATATTCTGTAGGGACTGTTAGGGCGAAAAAGTCTTTACAAAATAATTCTCATTGCTGTAGACTTATAAGTGAAATAACCATGTACGTGTGTGTGTGTACATTACTTTAACTGAATAAAACAGTAGCCCAGGATTAAAATAACAAACATGTCAGTGTGTTTGAATTTTTTCCCTCTTGTCAAAAGCATGATTGTGTTCAAGCTGAATGACATCATCATAATTAACTAAAAGTTGGATTTGGTCCACTGTATCTTTATCAGGTAATAGAAGTAAGGAGATATTACACTGGTGCAGCACTTGTCTTCCTGTTTTAAGAACACATTTAAATTTCTTCCATTTTGGACAAGTATGTATTATAGGCAACATGAATTTTATTGGCAAGAGGTAAACCCACTGCAGACTTCCCATCTTTATGAAAACATTCATCTAAAACTCAAGTGTAGTATTGGTGAAAAACTGAAAATATATGTGTCTCTTGCATAGGCCAAAATTTCTACTTGCCTACACTGATCTAAATTTCAGAGTCTTTTATTGGGTGCATCTCCTCTGTCTGCCTGCGAGTTACGAGTCAGACTGTTTAATTAGGATTAGCCTGAAGAATTTTAGGGTTCCTGATATTTTCAGATCTGCTTTATAATAAAATGTTTGGCACATGGTTTAGGGGACATGGTGGTGTTGGGTTAACGGTTGGACTTGGTGATCTTAAAGGTCCTTTCCAACCTTAATGATTCTGTGATTCTGTGAAAATTACTGGTGTATTCATTCCCTGAATTATCTGGTCAAGCTGTGCTAGGAAACATTTACTAACCATAACTTACTATACAGTTATGTGGGTTTGGGTATTTTTTTTTCCCCCTTTCAATGTTTTTGCTAACTTGTTTCTTCATTACAGTATTTAATACAGGAATATTTGCCTGTATTTGCATTAAGACAAGCTTCTCCTGTCCCTTTGATCATTCCCTTTATTACTGTTTTGAGGACATTACCTTCTGGGGTGAAACTAATCTTATGCTCACTGCATCATTACGTTTTGCAATTAAATTAGCTATTCTTTGCCATTTGTAATCATTAGCTGAACCCAAGAGTCCAACCAATCCACAAGGTCTGGGTAGATTCTGCTGAAAAGATGACAGTTAATATTTCTGTGTACAGACCTTACGTCAGATGTCACCAAATCACAAGAACTCTTCCCTGGGTAAATGCAGTCAGTTTGGAATGGCAGATGAGTGCAAAAGAAATGGAGATGTTAAGGCAAACAAAAAAATATTTATGTTTTACGTTTTCACAAAGGGGAGGAGTAGAGGTGGGGTTCTGATCATGTTTATCCACATGATTCATTAGAGTCCTTTTAAAGATTTCTTGTCCTTTCTGGATTCTTTGTAGCATTTAACGTATAGGTGATCTTAATTCAGAACAACAGAAAACATCTAGCAGTGGGATTCCAGGCAAGAAGGACTATCTTGTGGGGAAGATTTCACAGTCTGTCTGGATGAAAGCAATGTATGCAAATATAGGAGGATGTTAGGAAGAAGCGTGAGATGCTTTCTTGGCCAGATGGCTGCTGTTCCTCAAAGCAGGAAATGCATTGTGGACTTTATGGGACACTCTACAAAGTTCTCCACTAATTACTGCAACTAGAATAAACATAGATTAATTACAGGAGGCAAAAAACTGTCAGAAGAAAAGAGAAATTACTGGATCAGAAAGAGGATAGAAGACCACTTCTAAAAGAGTTGGTCTTAGGATCAGTTTTACGTAATGACCTGCTTAACGACAGCATAGAAGTAGGAGTGAAATCATGAAAATTGCTGATGACAGAAACTTGGAACACATCATCAGTATATAGGAGTAATAATATATTTCAGAGGACACTCTTGATGTTTAATTTTTGTAGTATAAAGCAGAAAACTTGTGTCTAAAGGAACAAAAATATTTTGTTGCTGTGAGGTAGAAACTCAGTACTTAAAAATATGTAGATTCTGTTACTTAGCTATTCTGAGAATGAGCTGCTAGTGTGATAAGGCAAATGATTGTAAGATGGTTCAAGAAAAAAGAACAGTTATGAAAGAACTACGGGGTATGGTTGCCTGCAACAGGAGGAATTTAACTCAATGAATTTAAAGTCCTCATTAATATTTCAGTTTCTGTCAACAAAAAGCCAGAACAACACTCATCCCTTCTTAATGTGGATCTCATAATAGTCTTTCAATGGCTTTGTTTCTGTGGTTATTACAAGGACATCTCCTTGAGGCTGTCTTGAGATCTCCACACAACCTCCAGCATGCACAGAATTGTGGCCAATTTCCAGTTCATGAGGGTATGGTTAAAAAGCAAAAAAATGTGTGTGATTTATCTCAGTGAGTTTAGTAATCACTGCCATGAGTTAACTTCTTTCAGTTGATACTCTCTAGAAATTCTATTTATCGACTTAATTGTTTAAGCTGTCTTCACTAAGGAGGCAGTCAAGACCAAATAAGCGTGTGCAGCATAAGCCTATGAATATTCCCTAAATGGAATAATGACTTCTTTAGTGGCTGTCTAGAATGCACTTGAACATCCATGAGATTTTTGTCTTACCATCTCTTGACTAAGATGTGAGAGTTCCTTAGTGTTCACTTTTCTGTGGTTTTTTTGTGATTTATTCTGTTTAAAACACAGCTGCTGCAGGGGTAAGAAAACTGAAGTTATTAAATAAATATTAAAAAAAAAAAGCATTCAGAAGTCAAAACACATTTTCTCCTTTAGCAAGTAAAAGTTTTCTGTTCTTTTATGTTTCAAATAATTTCTAAGTGTTAAAAAAAACAACTTAATATATGTACTTCAAACTGTAAAGGCCATTTTTGTCAAGAAAGGAAAACAAAGTCATTTCTTAAAAAAATACAGGGTATCAGTGTATTGATAAATATTTAGTAGATTGCTGCAGTTGTTAAGCCTTTTCATAGAAATTTGCATCTTTTGCTATCCCTATGTAATGACTGATAATCCCATTTTTTCAAATGAGAAAATTCTGAAACTAAGATGCTAATCTGTGTGCCTTTATTACTTTACCAAGTGGATTGATTTTAATGAACAGAAAGCTTCATCTTTTTAACATTTTTATGCTAGCCTGTATTTTCTTGTAAGAACATTGCTTGAGTGTCACTGGTAACCATTTATGCATACGAAGAAATGTAGCGTTTACTTTAGTTTGGTACTTTTTTTGGTTAACCAGACAGATGTATGTATTTCTAAATTAAACATATTAGAGCATTGGAAGATCCTCTGTCTTAGCAGATGTTTTCTAATGGTTTGTGTCAAAGTCTGTCTGAGGAAGAAAAACCGACGTTCCACATGCATAACACATTTATTAATTTTTAGTCATTATACCTTAGAAGTAGTTCATTCACTTAACAAAAAGCCAACCGAGTTGTGCACATACATACTTACTTATTAGGTGACGACAGTGTAGTGAGGGAACAGAACTACATGTTTCCAGGTACCATTTCATTCAAAAGTTTATGGAACTTCAGAACTGATCCTCTTGCACTGTTTTTCAGAATATGTTGTGAGAGAAGTACAGCACCCGCAGCGCAGAAGTTGATAAATTCTTCTTCATGCTGCTCAGTTCTAAGAGTGGTTACACTGGTCCATATCTGAGTCCATCCAGCCTCAGTATTCTTCTTGAAACAGTGGCCGTACATACTCCAAGGAAAATCTCAGTGAAGCAAATGTATTGGATATTTTGTCCGTAGCACTCAGACATTCTTGTATGCTTTTCAGTCCAAGGATTTTTCTGAGCCTCATTGGGTTTGTCTACTTAGTAACCCTCAATAGATGTTTCTTCCAAGTACATTACCTGTTTTGTTCTTGGACTTAAGTAAGCTTTATATATTCAAGTGTCTTTTGTCAAGGAGTCTATTAGGTGGAGGATCACTTTCTTGTTTGCTGTTGAGTTTGACTTTACAGGCTTCATTTGATGGTCCATAGTTCTTGTTTTGGAAGAGAGCATGAACAGTTGGTTCACTGTCTCGATGCTGCTTGTGATTTTTTTTTCTAGATAATTTCTGTACCTCCCTAGAGTTTAATATCTGTTGGGGTTTGTTTTTCAGGACGCTGCCTATTATTTTTCTTTCCAACCCTGTCCTTGGAAAGAAATTGGTCAAGAGAACAAAAATTTGAAGCAGAAAGAGGCATTTCAGTCCTTAACTGATGTTCTGATAAACATAAGTTGGAGTAATTGATGTTTTCATTTGAATACACACAAATCAGTCCTTCAAAGCTAGGATAGACTTTTTCATATTTCAGATACTTCACTTTTGTAAAAACCCTTCCTTCACTGAGGACAATAACTTACTCATCATACTGCGTTGCTTAATCTTTTTTCGGAACCTTTTAGTTTGATTTCATATCATTGCTGTCATGCAATGCTGGTATGTTATCATACCGCTGTTTTATTATTGTCTTATGTCACCAGCTTTAGGCACTGATCCACTTAAGCACTTGTGAACAATGTTAAAACCATCCATATTCTGATAAACATTTTACACTGTTCAAGATTTCATTTTGTCCAGTCTCTTTTTTTTAAAGTCAGCCTGTGATCCTTGCACAATGGTAGAACAATAGCTAGTTCTGTTGTCTAAAAGTAGACATTGGATCTTACTCACTTCCTTTTTTTTTTTCCCCTTATTGTAAGTCACATTTTGAGTTTATAAAATATTGCCATTAATTCTTTTCCTTGAGTATCCAGTGAGGCCCTCAGAGCTGTGTGCCTTAATCTTCTGGGCAGCACAAATCCAAATCCTATGTGAAAGTAGTGCCTAACATAAGCCTTAGTCATGTTTTCCTTTCCTTCTGTAGTCAACTTTTCTGCCTTTAAAGAAGTGGAAGGAAGAGTTCATGACAAAAAAGTAAATAAATACCAAAAAAAAGCAAGCTTGCAAACCTGTCTATATATTTAGGTATCAGATAAAGCTAGAGAGTTTTTTTTGAATCTGCATTTGAGATTCCAAACTACCAGCTTTGTTTCCTTTAAGCTCATTTCTTGGATCTCGAGGAAGCAGACTTTCAGATTTCCCTCTATTGTACCAGGATTCCTTCTTCCGTATTGAACATTTCCCTCCCGTACTTCTTAGCTGTCCTTTAAAACCATGCAGATCCTTTCTGGCTCATGCAAGACATGCAAAAGAACATGGAACAAAACCTTGTTCAGTAACTTCTGGGATTTCATTTTATTAACAGAAGTCTACCTTGAGTTGATTCGGAACTTGACTGTGTACGTAGTTGGACATCCATGCGAGGAAAGATGTCATTTAATTCCTGCAAATTGCAAATACTTAAGGATTGCTTGAGAAGGCAAGGATGACTTGGCCAATCTTACATGTATGTGATTTTTTTTTTTTCCCCTATGTATTTTTAAAAAATCGTGCAGGATGTGCATGTTGGCCTCCACTCTAAACTTTTGGCTGAAAACTAAAAAATGTTCATCTTTTTGTAATAGTTTAAGTCATAAAAGTTGAAATAAAGACTTAAAAAAACAATGGCTGGAGTGCTGGAGAAAGTATTATCTACTGATGACAAAGACCTTCTACGCTGAGTCATATTTTGGATATGTGATGCTTTTTGTCTCAAGGACAGATTTTGGAAATACCTCATAAGAGATACTCTTTTTGTTGATACTCTCTTACTGTCAGTGTTAGCATTTGCTTCTCTCCTCTTCCCCCAGTCTGAGCTTTTCTTGGCCAAGACTGCTTACTGAAGAAACTTAATTTTGAAATGACCCACTCGAGCTCTACATATTCTCTTCTGCCTGGAATCTAGTATGTGTCAAAAAATAAACACTGCAGTTTATTTTCCTGCATCCAATGTCCTTTGCAGTGTTTTTTTTCATATTAATAACCTGCAAGTTGTAGCAAGGCTTTTCAGACAGTATTTGTACTTGAGGAAGAATGGTACTAGCAGTGGTGTTTTGCATTTGCATATTGACGCATAAGCAATATATTACCTTGCATGCTGGGAATCCTGCATTCTTTCAAAAAAAAAAAAGGGAACAATTTTTGGAAGACAATGTATCTTAGGTAGCATAGACCTCAGTGATGGAAGAGTTGTAATTTCTAGATTGTTAATCTGAACGCTAAATAAATAAGTTATTCTTGGTGGAACTGCAATAGTAAAAAGTTAGCAAAATACAGAAATGAACATTGATATCAGATACAAATAGATTCAAGCAGTCTTGCTTATAAAAAGAGCGTATTTTTATGTTGACGTCAGTTAAAGTTTATGTAAGCAGTATGTATGTTTTAGTCTTTTTCATCCCTCAAGGTGTAATATTTCTGCTGAGAAATCTTTATATTTAATAGAATATTTTATGATGTGTTAGGATTTATGTAAAGGAGAAAAATGATCCAATGAGATCCAGCGTAGTAATCTGCTTTTGTGAAATCCCTCTTAATGGAAGACTTTGAAATATGAACATCATGTGCAAGATGACCAAATAACTCTGCTGTCGGCCTAGGTGCTTACATTTTGTATAAACTTTATAGTTGATTAAAATGCAAGTATTTTGGTTTTCCTCCCTGACCCCCTTTAGATATTAAACAATCAGTTTCAGTAAGTGATTAGAAGTAAAAGTAATTTGCAGTGTGTGCAGCTTCATTTTTTCCTCAGGTTCACATGGAATTGGAGGATAACTTGCTGTAGAACTTCAAAGAGAAAGTTGATTACTTTGTGCCTTCTTTTCATTAACTATGGAGGTGCAGAGCTGTCTGCTCAATGACATGCAAGTCTGGTTTTGGAACTGAAACCTTTAATTCTCACAGATTGAAGATTAGTGGTCTACTACCTGCTATTATTTTAATAGGCATGTGTGTGATGATATGGGCACCTGGGCCTTGAAATTTTTTTTAAATTTTATTTTTACAAGCTGCTATATGTTTATCAAAGAGTCTTTGACACTATAATTCTGTTCCTGCAGATAAAATTTGGTATTTTGATGTGGCAAAACAGTCTTGTAAGACTGTTCATGAAACTAAACGTGTATGTGTGTTTGAGGCAGCTACAAATTTGTGCAATGCACCCATGTTGTCTATCTGCTGTTTCAACAAATGATCTGAAACTGTTTATTTTAGTTCATAAAGTAGTACAGTACTTCTAATATTTCTGAATACATTATGCTTCATAAGCCTTTGTAAAAATTACTTCATGAGATACAAAATCAGCTCTAGCTTTTAATTTTTTTGGTTTTTTTAATCCTAGGATTTTGGTAGTCTGTTACACTTGGAACAATAGGCTATTGTGCAGTTTTTGTCTTCAGTGGAACTAATTTAATTTTAGCTTTACGTTTAAAATCATTGCCAGCTTTGTTTCGTTATTTTAGCTCTCTAGTTCTGCAGCCCTGGAAGGGAAAGGACAATTAAAATTTACTTCTGGAAGATGGAGTCCCCACCACAATTGTACACAGATTGCAACGGCCAATGATACCACTGTTCGAGGATGGGATACACGAAGCATGAGGTAATGAGAAATTGCAGTCTTGTTCTCTAAAAAAGCCAGTCTCCTTTGGAGGTGGATTTTTCATTGCTCTAACATATTTTTCTTTTAAAGATGAGAAATGTGGCAAAGCTATCACTTATAAAAGGAATTGTTGGACTTGCATAGCTGATATATTCACAATTTAGTAAAGGGGTTTCTCTGTTTTTTCCCCTCAGCTTCAATTCTAACTTGTATATTGAGTTTTACTGAACTACGTACTAGTCTCAAGATGATTTGTTCAATACATAGGCATTACTTGAATGAAGCTGTTCTGTAATTCAACCCGAAAATGATTTAATATCTGTCCTGACTATGTTATGAGCTGTCTTCATAGTATACTGTTTAAAGGTAACTTTAATCTCTGAAGGTAATTTACAGGATAAGTTCATTCTTCACTTTTCTGATTTTAACAAATAGTATACTGTACTATATTAATGATTGTAGCATGCTAGTTATATGAAACTACTGAATCTATCAAAATCATAACCAATTCAATTAAGGCTTTGAATACATCTACTAAGGTGTTTTCCCCCCTGCTCAGTCGTGAGTTTGATAAGCAAAGGAGTGATGTTGTGCACATCTGTTGCCATGACTACTAAAGCCTGTGCAAGCTTTTTTAAGATACGCTTTATCCCCTTAGCACATAGTAATTTATCACTAAACCGAGAAGACTGATGTCTTGTAATAACTTTTGTTGCCTTAAAGGAGGATGACTTTAAATTTAGTTCTATGGTTCCTGCCAGCTCACGGGTGTAGCAATAAATCCCAATGTTTGCCAGACTTGTGTGTTTTTGCCAAAAAGGTTTATTTAATTTAATAAACAAGGCTAAAAATACAAATATAACAATTAAGTCAATATCTGTACGCTTGTCATAAGGTTTGAAAGTCCTGTTCTTTGCCCTGTAAAAGGATATATAAAAATCTAACTTTATATATGTGTATACTTTCATTTGTGAAAACTCTTTTAAATGAAGCATACAAGAGATGAAAGGTAAAAGGAGAAAGTTTTTTTTTTTTTTAAATTGCTTTTCTGTGACATTTTTGTAATCATCCTAGTCTTAACAGATAGCATGCAGACCTTAAGATTAAAGCCTCTGTTTCTAAGTAGAAAATGTTAAATACTGTGAAGTCTGCTTGATGCTCTGTCTCATTAGAAAGAACATCTCTGTCTTGCATTAAGCCAATACTCTGAGTAACTTTTATGAAAAATAGATAGTCCAGATCCTCAATGAAAGAGTAGCTTGCTTAACAAAAGCAAACCCCACAATTCTAATTACTTTAAGTGAAGCTCAGATTAGATAGTCCTTGAACCAATTTACAAATACTAGGCTATGCCAAAGAAGTGTTTGCCATGTACTTGAAAAATATGTGCAAGAATAAGTCTCATCTGCAATTACACTATAATATGTCTAGAACGATGTGAATATTTGATAATGACTAGTTAGGCTAGAGGTAGGAGTTTAATGTCAGGGCATTATAAACTGTGGTAGTGTAAGAAGCAGAAAATGAGAGGGGAAAAAAAAACAAGGACAGAAAACTGCTATACCAGCAAAAAGTACATGAGCAGAGATACTAAAGAAGTAGCTAGAATAGCTACTTCTATGGAGTGCGATTATGATAGCTGTTAGATAGAGGGAGTGAATAATTTTGGACATAGCAAACAAAGAAGGGTGGGGCAGGAGAGGTTGGTGGGAAGACTCCTAGACTAGACTAGGAAGCAATCTTAATCAGAGAAGAGCTTGTGAAGCAGAGGAGACAGACACTAGGCTGAATGGGATTAGAGAGAATTGTATCAGAAAAATTCAGACTCTAAGAATAAATTTGAAAAAAATATGGCACAAAAATAATATGAGAAGGTGGAGAAAATGTTCATGTGGTCTGGCCTTAATCTTATGATGTAAATGGGAAATACAGTGTAGGATGATGGAGTGAAAGAAAAGAATATTCCTATTTGGGAAGGAAAGGGATCAAGCGGTCGAAATAATAGTTAAGTTGGGCTAAAGGTTTTCATGGTAAGCACTACTGAATGTACAGTGGACAGTGGTATTTCTTTTTAAGCCCTTACACACATCTCCATGAGCAATGCAAGAAGTGCAAGAAAGAAGTGAAAGGGTGCAGTAAAGGAGGAAAGAAGTATTTTATTTCTGCGAGCATGCTTGAGATTTAAAAATTTTCATATGAAGTTGTTTCAAGAAATTAAGAGGGAATGTTGAATTCAGATCCCAGAATATGTGGTAGAAAGGTATACTTGAGTGATATCCTTAATCTCTCATACTCTGAGCATAGTAGGAAAGTTGGATACCTAGGTGATATCCTCTATCCCAAGTGGCTGCCGTAGCTGTCAGGATAGGGCTCAGTATAGGCCTGGTATACTTTGAATCTCTCCTTATGGAACTACTTTGCTTTTTATTAGTAGTTAGATATTAACAGCAGGAGACTTCTCTATGTGGTGTTTAGAACATGTATAGAGCGCAGGAAATACAAAGTTTTGGTCAATCTGAAGAGAAACATTTTTCATTTAAAAATAGAAAAAAGCTCACAAAGTGTTGACAAGTTCTAGTGAAGTTTGTAGGAGACGGTCAAATCTAAGCAGAACGTCAGTAGATGGTGGCTTTGAGAATGGACATGGGAGCAGGTACAGCCTTTTCATAAAACCGGTAATGCAATAGCGGAAGCAAACAAAAAAACAACCCGAAGATTGAGGTGACGTACAAACTGATGGAATGTGATGTTTTGAATAAGGTTGCTAGATTGTTAGCAGTACTACAGATGTTTTCTAAAGTGATCCACATGCATGAGTATGAACATGTCTGAGTAGTTTAAGGGCCACAGGTAAACTGATTATAAATGCCAGAGCTCAAGAAGGTAAGTTCAAAATAGAGCAATAATAAAAAGCTGTTGTTCATATCTGTCGCCTCCCTTGCATCTCAGCTTTTCATACAGGGAGAACTAGATGTCATAAATACAGAATTGGTATAACTACTTAAGGGTGGAGAGACTCTTATCTGAAAATATTGTGGTTTAGTAGCAGACATTTCATAATAGTTGTTAGAGAGCTGTGCTAGAACCATCTGGAACTACTGTTTCCTTTTAGCTCCAGATGATCCTAATGCAAACAAGGAATGAGCAAAGCTTCAATGCAAGCTGAGAAATCTATACAAGTCACTGTTGTTAACAGCTGGGATTTCTCTAAATGGTGCACTAGCAATGGGAGCTCTAGGTCTGCGGGTGCTAAGGGGATTATGCAAGTTTCCAGGGAAACAGATTCCTGTCAGTGGAGTGCAGTTAGCTTTTTATAGACCGTTTAATTTTTTTAATGTGTTTTACAGACAGATATATTGTATAGAAAATGCACATGGACAGCTGGTACGAGACCTAGACTTTAATCCCAATAAACAGTACTACCTGGCTAGCTGTGGAGATGACTGCAAGGTGAAATTCTGGGACACAAGAAATGTCACTGAACCAGTGAAGACACTAGAGGAGCATTCCCACTGGTAGAACAAATTATCTGCATGCTGTTTTGTGGGAGGATGGCTTATGTAATTTATGCAACTAATTATTTTACTGTTTAGGAACAATGCAAACTAACTATGTTTGTGCTATTGTGAGTAATCATTTTTCTGCATGGAGGAAAGTTTTCAATATGTGACTGTTTCTTGTGTGATTGTAAGTTCAAAGTTTAGACGACGTTAGTCTAATTGGCAAGAAACTGTTGTTAACATTGTTGGGAGATAGGGTACACCTTTGAAAAGCACAACACAGAACTTGGCTTGTAGGGGCCAGCTGGGACATAGGTGTGCCTTCCCAAATTAAGCCTGATCTGCTGCACCTGATGTGCAGAAAAGCCCTTTTGGTTACAACGGTTGCGATCTGTCCTTCTGTTGTTGAATGATGGAAATGATGGAAATGCTCGGTAATTCAGACCTTTTTTTTTTTTTTTTTCCTGCTCTTTGCAGCTCTTAAGCCAGAATATGCAAGTGTCATTTTATTCTCTGAGGTAGTATTTCAAGCCCATATCCACTGCTTTGGCCTGTAGCTGGAGCAAGGAGAGAATCTTGTCTAACGTTTGCAGACTTCAGTGGTTAAGCAAAGATGAGCGGTTCATATTTTATAAAATTTGGG